GTCCGGTAGTGTTTCATTTTTCATTTTTTTTTTACTAATCGTAATGATCTGAAATTCGAAATGACCATTTACTATTGGATGTGAAATTGGGTGGTTGCAATTATTCCATTGACCAAGCTCAAACTTCAAAAGAAATTTTCTTGAACTTTGTGACACATTCAAGCCATCAAATTTCACATCAAATGGTTTTAAGGAATTGTGACCAAGAAATTTTCTCGAACTTTGTAACACATCCATGCTATCAAATTTCACATCAAATGGTTGTAAGAAATTGTGGCCACCTTGAATCAAAGTTAACTCGTCTCATTGTGTGTGTGTGTGTATATATATATATATATATATATGGGATAGTACAGGATGAGACCATTTACCTTTGGTACAAGGTGGTCGCATTAATCTTAACCATTAGATGTGAAATTGGGTGACTGCAATTATTCCATTGACCAAGCTCAAACTTCAAAAGCATTTTTTTCGAACTGTGTGACACATCCAAGCTATCAAACTTCACATCGGATGGTTGTAAGTAATTGTGACCACCTTGTATCAAAGGTAAATGGTCTCATTGTATACAATCGCCATATATATAGATATGGTTTCTATGCGGCCAGCTCGCATATTGTAGAAATGCGGATTTGGAAATAAATATACTTTTTAAATATAATTTGATCTTAATTTTTAGAGAATATATAATCTTTAACATGGAGATCATGAATATGAAAAAAACAAAAAATTTGAAAAGTAGAAATAATAATTGTATTAAGAAAACATTTGGACCACTAGTTACACTTGGTTTTAGATGGACCACCTATTTACATCCATCGTTTTTAGATGGACCACCTATTTGCATCCATCCTTAAGATGGAGGTTTTAAACCTCTAGACCGCATATTGTTGAAATGCGGTCCAGCCTGCATGAAACAATTTTCCTATATAGCAAATAGCTATAGTGTTAACCCAATAGCTAATAGCTATAGTGTTAGCCCAACGGTCTAAATTGAGTTTGGGTCGATCTAATTGTATTGATTGCATTTTGAATTTGAATTTTAATATTTTTTTACAAATCCAAATTACTTGAAATTTTAAGAGTAAATTATTTTAAAATAGGAGAATATAATAAAAATTGAGGTAGTATATGAATATTTCAACAAGCCCTTTTTCCATGAGTCTTCTCCATGAAACTATTCATTCAACCGTGGAAGAAGTATCTAAAGTTATGTTGTTGAATAGTCAAGTTGAGTCCAAATCGAAAGCTTTCAGTTGACTTATACGGGGCCCCATATTTAGATCTCATTGAGTTTAGTAATAGTATATACTTATTACACAGAATCTCATTGAACGAACACCAGAGCACATCCATATCTCCATGCCAATCATTCCATCCATTTGTCAATCTAGCGCAACGGCTTTCGCGCTAGGCTAGGCGTTACATCTTAAAAGAAAACGGATGTGTTAACGCGCAACAGCTTGACCGTAGATGTTAGTCATAGTGTGTTATTCAGATCTCTCTCTTCACGGAGTAAAATGTTGTTTCTTCTTTTGCAGAAAGAGTGGAGAGAGCGGAGGGAGGAGTTCAAAAGGAAAGTAGGCCGCATTGTGAGAAAATCTCAGGAAATGTCTTGAGCTTTGAAAGAGAATGGAGAGTGGTCATGGGTGGGAGGAATATCTTCGGCATGCTGTTTTTCTCTCTAAATTATCGTGGCTGTCGGTTCATTCGGTCCTGTAGAATTCCAATTGAAGCCCCTTACCTCATCTTTCAGGACTTGGCAGACATTGCTTAATGTTTCTATTTAATGAGTTGGAGAGTGTGTTGCACATGGGACCTCTCTCTCTCTCTCGCTCTCTCTGCGTGTGCTTTGTGATTTTACTTATTTTTCTTAATACAAAATTTGGTTTTGTTTATTTAAATGATGATCGTTTATGAACATTTGAGTGATGCAGGAGGATTAAGTTGGAGATAGGAATGGGATTTGTAATAAAAGGATTGAACATGTAAAATGGACAAGGATTTAGGTTTTCAATCTTATACAGGGGCGTAGAGCATATGGGAAATGAGTTAATTAGATGTAGAATATGGAGAAAGAAGAATTTTCAAGTCGTAAAAATATTTCACCTTAGTTTGGATTGTGTAGTTTTCAAAATTTTCATATGTTTATGGATCTGTGATCTGAACTGATTTTGAAGTTTAAAATTTTAAAATTGATTCTTGTGTCATCCTAAGAATTTTTTCACACCAAAATTGCATTTTGGGACAAAGTTTGGATGTGCAAATTAATTTGATTGTTTAAGATTGCAACCTCATTGCATCCATGTTTAAATGTTTAACGATGAGTAACAAGGCGATCTTTAAATGTTGAACGATGAGTAACAAGGCTGACGTAAATCTCAGGGCTTATGTAAATATCAGGAGAAGGTAACGAAACAGAGTGGTGCTAGAAGAGTCAGAGAGAGGAGCGTGCTTTAATGTTTCTTGTGAAATCTCACTTTTAATTTGGGCCAAAAGTTCTTTTCTCCTATAAGGATTGCGGTCTTATACAGTCCAAAATGACCACTAAGATTGTCACCATGTATCTCACCTATGATTTGGATACGAAGTGACCTCTCAGAAATGCAAAGCTGACTCCCTTTGAACAGAAAGTCTCCTACAAAACAAAACCAACTCTTATTTTCCTTTCTCGTTCTGCAAGTTGCTTAAAGATAAATTAGGGTCACTATGATAAATCTGAAGCCGGGACTCAAAACCCACAACTGAGATGGCAAAAGAACCAAGGAGGTGACACCTCCGGTTATTCGCATCAACCACTTTGTTTTGGCTGCTAGATTTGGGACAGCTAATGAAAGTGAATTCTTGTAAGTAAGAGAGCCACAAGCATGCCTACAAGAATTTGAAACTTCAGTTCCTTTTAAGCACGCCGCAAGCACGCCTGCAAGCATGCCTACAAGACACCTTCAGTTTCTTTTAAGCATTCATATACTTCAAAGGTTCAATGTCTAAGAATAAGATAATTTTTCTTTGAATGAGGTAGTGCCTCAAATGTCTCAAAGTTTGAACTACTGCATACAATTTTACAAGTAGAATAATAATATTTGCCCCACTCAGTTTCTCTCTAAAGAAGAACACGGGTCAAACCTCTTTACTTGAGACACCTACGATTCCCACCTTTGAGGCATCACACTCCACTTCGAAGACCTTTTTAAAAGTCTGAAAGTGCGAGGAGAGGAGCACTTGTCATCCTTTCTTTCACCCATTTGAAACTGTTTTCAGCAGCTAAAGTCCACTCGAACACCCCTTTCCTCATGCAATTAATTATAGGTCTTATTATGCTGTTGAAGTTTATGAGAAACCTCATGTAAAATGTTGCTAAACCATGAAAAGTTCTCAGCTCAATAACTGTTTTGGGTGTCGGTCAGTCTATAATGGCTTGTACTTTGGTACGATCAATCATGACCCCTTCGCATGACTCCACAAAACCCATAAATACTAGTAAAAAAATGAACATTTTTTGAGATTTATAAATAACTTTTCTTTTTGAAGGACCTCCAAGACCTTTTCTAAATGCAACAAATGTTTGTTAATGCTTGCACTGCAAATGAGGATATCATCAAAATGCACCGCTACAAACTCTCATGAAAGTGCTCGGAGCATTAGAGAGCCTAATGGTACACTCATACCTTCATTTGTCTTAAACACAGTTTTCTACTCGTCTCCGGGTTTTATACGAACCTGGTGGTAGCCACCTTTCAAGTAAATTTTGGAAAATACCCTATTTTCTCATTAGTTATGTTAAATGGTTTGCATTTGTGGAATGGCATATGAACCAAATCAATGAAATGTTAAATGGTTCTCATTAGTGGCAATTCATTAGGTATCATTATTATCATCATTCAAGCTTTATCTCAATTATTTGTGGTTGGCTCCATGAATTCGGTTCCTCCATTCTTTTCTATCAAAGGGCATGCCTTCAATAGGTTCAAGATTCATGATAAGATGCGATAAGGTTTTATGCTCTGCTTACCTAATACAATCCACCTCTTTGACTTGGGTGTGGAGTGGGTCAAGAGAAAGTTTAAGGTCCTCACCCTTATTAGACCTGTAATTCATCAAGTATCACATCGTTAAACCTTCCAACTAGGGACTTAACCTTTGTGGGGATTTCATCGAGGCAAACCCTTATTTGGTTACCAAAGCATATACTAACCCTTGTTCCTTCCAACTAGGGACTTAACCTTTGTGGGAATTTCATCGAGGCAAACCCTTATTTGGTTACCAAAGCATATACTAACCCTTGTTCCTTCCAACTAGGGACTTAACCTTTGTGGGGATTTCATCTAGGCAAACCCTTGTTTGGCTACCAAAGCATATACTAACTCTTGTTCTTTGCTTTCTTCAACAAACTGGTTCAAAGTAAGGGCAACATCTCCTTTCCACTCTTGAGGTCAAGCTTGTTATCCTCCTTTAACCATTTCAAAATAATTTTTACCCCATCCTTCCAAAAAGAGTATGTATTGTATGGCAGATTGGTCATATTGCCAAGGACAACCCCAAAGGATATGGCACACGTCCATGAGAAGGACATCACACCAAACTGAATCATTAAATGTTTTACTAATGGAAAAATTAATTAAACAATGAGAAGTTACTACAGTTTTATTACTTTTTTGAAACTATGCTATTTTGTAGGGATGTGGGTGTTTCTCACATGTCAACTTCAACTTGTCTGCAACCTCTTGAGACACCATAATATTGCAGCTGCCACTATCAATGATAATCATGCTCACCTTCCCAAGGATTGTACAATGAGTCTGGAAGATGTTGATTCGGAGCCATAACTCTTCTATCACCTTTGGGGCATTGAGTAGTTGTCTAATGATAAGAAATCCCCTTCATCTTCCACAATTTCATCAACATCTTGCTCATTTTCCCTACATGAACCTCATCGAATATTGGCCTTGTGACAAAATCTCCTTCATTTGCATCATCTCCATTTAGGAGATGTATTCCAGCTTTCCGGTTCCGACACTTACATGATCGATGGCCAACCTCGCCACATTTATATCACTTTACACTCTGTTATCTGGTTTGGAGAGGTCTATTGGCAGCTGGAGCTTTGCAGGAGAGAGAGAGAGAGAGAGAGAGAGAGAGCTCAAAATTAGCTAGAAATCAAAGGAACTTAACTATGATTTAAAGATAATGGGTTGAAGCAAACAAAACCTAGTTTAATGGCTTGTATGAGGGTCCAGAGACACTCCCAATGGGAACTAAGTTCCTAATTTGATGAGATTTTTAGTAAAAGTATTGTTTTCTATAGGGTAAGGTCTCCCTTTTTAATAGATTTGGCTTGGCTTCAAAGTCAAAGCTCTCTCAACTTTCCTAGGAACATTAAATAGATGCTGCACCTTCCTAAGTCATGTAAAATACAATTTCGCAAGCCATGCTCAATACCATTTCCCACGCAACTTTTCAAATTCAAATTCAAACATTTCCCTCCTAATATTCCCCCATGCCAAAATTTATAAGAACTCCCTTGACCTTTCTATAAATTTCAAAAAAGTTTGTCATAGAGAAAAATCCCCAAAATACCATTGTAAAAAAAAAAAAATGCGGTCCAAAAGAAATCAAAACTCTCTTTTATTTTCTCCATTAAACTTCAATGAGGTGTCTCAATCCTCTCTCATGGAAAAGGCAAGAGTAAATAGTTGAAGTCCATCTCACTCTATTTCTTTAAACTTAAATTTGATGGGAGGGGTTTAGGTTGGTTCTTAGGGCAATTGTAGAGCCTCAAAGCCCCTGGATAAAAAAGCAAAAATTACAAAGATAGAGTGTGAAATATAAATATCATTAAATTGCATAAACTCAAATGTCATTGTAGAATTAATACAAAATTGATGAGTCAACCATTAAAAGTAAAAAAAACTAAAAACAAGTCTATATCATCACTCATCACCACCCCAAAACTTGAAATGTCAACTCTATGCCAGCACCACTCATGGTCCTCTTCCTCAGCATCAACCAGCCGCTAGTAAGTTTTATCCATATCACTAGGTTCAATAGCCTCCCCTTCATTGTGCACCGAGCTGTTGATAGCGCTTTTGTATCTTTTGATTATACTGGATGAAGATTAGGCCGTTTAGTCGCTTTTGCTCAAGCTTGTACCTCTTCTTTGTATGCACCTATTAGATAAAATTTGAATAAACAATTAAAACTTAGAAAAAGGTAATATAGTTATATAAGCTAACCTAACTTATATGTAAGTATTAAGTAATATCACATATCAAATGTACTGAGTTGTGGTCACATCTGGACGAGCTACATGTCGGATTCAATATATGCATAACCATCTGCCACAAATTTGGGGTGCTTCCCCCATGGCCCATCCACGATGCAGCTATTTCACATAAATGTAAATGTAGTAGATGAGGTGTCTGTGTAATTGATATTTAACACTCAAATATAAAATCAAAATAAAAAAGCTCTACATCATCAGGAGAGATCATGGTTATCTACCTTTTTTGCCAACTCCTTACCAAGAGACTCAATAAAAAGCCTTTACTTTTCTAATTCCATCATTTTGTCCTGAACTTTGGGATTAAGGTCGAATTTGATATTGCATTGGTTGAAAGCTTCCATTTATTCAATCTAGTTATGTACCCAATGAACCGTATAAAAGTAAGTAGGGTTCAATAGTACCTTGCTGAGTGTAGGGGCCACTCAAGCTAGTAGTTTCATTTATTTGCTCTTATCTTCAAATATTTTCCACACTTAGATTCATCATTCCCAAAAGAATTATTGATTTCTTCATAGCTTTATAGATGTGACCCATGGCGGATTCTTAATCAGCATCAACTATCTTGAGTACTTCTATTAATGGCCAAAAAATATATATGGCAGCCTGAAATCTATTATAAAATTGTGAGTCCATAACAATCTCCATCCCTGCTTTCCCATCTGATTTCTTAGCGCACTTGGACTTGGTCCAATCCTTAGTGCAAACATTAACCTCATCTTTTCCTTTTGTTTATACAAATATCGTATGGACAAGTAGGAGGTGAAAAATCTAGCCATCCTAGGCCTCACCAAGTCTCTACCCTCAATGAAGCCCCTCATAAAGGCAATGAAGTTCCTTTAAGGCTAGACCTGGCCAACATAAAATTTCCTAAATTATAAACTTGCAATGACATCACATAACATGTATAGATTCTAAAGAATCAAAATAAGTAACAATAAAGCTTAAACATAGTATAAAATTCATGTTCTTACTTGAGTGTGACTGTATATATAGATTATGATGACTTTGATTTTTTGATGGTTATCATCATCGATTTCCTCTAACAAATTGTCTCGAGCATGAGGTCTACTCAATGTGCTACTAGAAAATATGCCGCCTCGTCTCCATTAGTAACCTAGCAATAGCCATATTGGCTCAGTACATATCGGTCACTTTGTGGACCACTTTATCATCCCCTACCTCCTCTATGCACTTGTCTACCAATCATAAATGAAGGCTGCATCATGGGACTTGTCAGAAGCATCAATAAACTTTAAGAACATTGTCCGAAATAGACAATTTACCATCAAATTTATAATGCTTTTATTTCCCTTATCACTCCAACCATTAGTCATATAAGTGCAACCATATATCACCCATGCATCCTGTGGGTCTTCAAAAAGTTATTAGTGAGCTCAGTTTCGTTTTTGAACAATGGCCCCTTAAGCTCATAACCAGTTAGTACCCTAAACCACGGCCCAAATTGACCTACTGCTTCCAACATAGTTTAAAATCTATCCAAGTTAGTAGCAATAAAAGAAATGCCGCCTAGTAGAACCATCTGGCCACACATTGTGCTAGCTTATCTCTATCTTCTTCTTTTAAGTGGCTCCCTAAACTTGTTTGACCCCTAGTACGGTAAAATCACTCATGTATGCTATGTTAGGCATGTAACCGGATTTGTATTTTCTGTGAACATTGTAGCCGGATACAAAAAATAAGAGGGGAATTGGTAAAGAGATTTATGAGATTCTTGAAAGGGACTGTCCACATGAACTAAATTATCAAGGCGGGACTGTCTACATGAACTAAATTATCAAGGCAATCTAGATGACTTGAGATTGACTTGAGATTGATATTTATGCTTGGTGGAGGGAGTTGTCTCTTGGTGCTCTGGGTAGCAAACGTATGTAGTTCTATCCACAGTAGATTTAACATAGAAATATTCTGAAGCGGTCAAGGAGGTGGTTTGGATGGAAGAAATAACTTAAGAAATTGAGGCTTGGTCCAATGAGTTGTGAGTCAATGCGAATATTTTTTATAACCAATCAGGGATATATATGTTCTATTATTTTGTGCGATTGGCACATGATAGTGAGATCAAAGTCTCCAACCTTCCCCCAAACACAGTGTTGGCATATTCTTTAAATAAGATCAAGGGGAAGTGGTTTCCTTAAAATATATAGGGTTTGATAGAGGATGTCTTTTATAAAGCCTTCAAAGGCCAAGTGTGAAAAAACACCAGATTATATCCAAAATGAAAAAGAAAAAAAAATTAGATTTTAAATTTGAGTTTTATTGGGGCATTCCTATGTATGAAATATCCACTTAACCTACTCAACATTCATTAGGTACTCATTACCTGCTTTGTAATGCACAAATTTTCGAGCAAGGGCATCTTTCGTCGGTAAGCAAGGGTAGAATAGATATTTTGATAAAAAACTGGTGGTATTTTATTTGTCGCGAATAACTTGAACTGCCAATCATTTATTTCCATTATTTCTTGTAGCCACTTACAAAGATCGTTCGATCATTAATATCTTGTTTACTTTTTTTTTTTTAATTGAAATTCATCAACAAGATGAAATATATTTTGGAATTCTGAAAATGCTTCTAGCGGGTTTCACCCAGGGGGAGTGAATGAAGGAAATGTTAGGGGCCTATGATAAATAAAATGTACTTTGTTATCCATCTACCAAATTTGTGTAGATATCGCGTTATTAAATTGCTCATACAATCAATATTTTCATTCAGTAGTATCAAAAGGCCATCATGTTGATCCATCCTCTGCACTTAGGCAGTCCATGAAAAGGCATGGTGCATAAACCATTCCAAAGCAATAGAAATATTGCCGGCATTCAAACAACTAATTTCACGTAGTAACAGTAGATGCAACATACTACACTAGCTAAACTGAACAAAAGCCGAGAAATTTCAAGGATTGGAATAATCAAGAGGTCTACTTTGGAGGCGCTTGCTTCCAAGCCGAACCACGATGCCATCCATGTCTCTCACATACCCAACCTTTTGGCCCCATTCCTTTTCCTCGGGCTCTCTAACCGGCCTAGCACCCGGCTCTATAGCCCTCTGAAACCAGATCAGGAAACAATATAAGAGATCACATTTTAAGATGAAAACTACATTGCATGCATTGAACCACAAAAATTAGAGTTTGAGAGGTATCGTCCTCCAATTAATGGATCACCATTGAGAAGTGATAGTAAGACCTCGAAAGGCGTCTATTGGTGAATAAGCAAACAGGGTCCCTCAAGGTCTGATAACACTCATGGTAAAACAAACACAGGGACCTACGTTTTGGACTGCCCTTTGGAAGGCCCTCATTGAACTCAAAAGCCTAACACGTGCGCGTTCGAATGTATGTGATCCCACATCTTGTGAATCACAATCGCAATGCAATAAAAGCTCACTGTGAGATCAAAGTTGTCGCTATTAGAATTTATGGCAAACAGTTACCTCATCAAAATACAATTTGTATACAAACATGCATGTCATACACTGATAGCGATAGAGAGCTTCTACGTTTTCAATAAGATAATATTTTGGAGCTTTAATTTTTCATATCAAAGTCATCTTTTGTATTAAATCTAAGCAGAATAAAATATGTCTGTTTTTTTTTTTTTTTTTAACTTACATCTAAGAGGGCTCTCGATTATCTGTTTTAAAATTCTTATGTGTGATTGTAATTGAGAGAGTCTCCCAAATTATTATCCAAGCGAGTGGAAGGCCATTTGCAGCTACTGTATCTGTAGACAGTAAGCTTTCTCTTTTCTCTTCTTCTCTCTTTTCATATATTATGAAAGTCTGTTTTGTTTAGACAGTTCGTTTGAGTTTGTAATATGTCACAGTAAGTTTGCATTACAGTGGTTTTATGTAATAGTTATTCTCAGTTATTCAATATATAAGTTTGAATGTTATTATGCAATTCAGAATTGTTCTTAGCATAAAAGTTTATGAATCATCTTATACTACTTGGCTTTTAGTTGATATATTCCCATTTTCGCTATTTATCTTTATCATTCAGTTCTTATATTTAGGTTATTTTAGGTTATTAACATAAAGGGTTGATCTTGGCTTCATTTGGTTTCAGAGCCAACCCTGAGAAGGAAATCTTCTAAGTTTTTATGTTAAGAAACTTATTACTTTGAAAAATACTTTGTTAAGAAGAAATCTAATTAAATTTACCATTAGAGAAAGTTGGTCCGCGAGTTGAGGCTAAAGAGCACCCAGTCAAGAGACCGTTAAGGCCAGGAGAGCCGCTGAGGTCAAAAAGACGTAAGAGGTAGCCAAGAAAGCACTCATCCGTAACCTAATAATGGAAAATTTTATTAGAAATCTATCTAACAGAGCGTTACCTCACAATAATAATATTCTTAAGATAAAAAATAAAGAGGAAATTCTTATCGACAATATATAAAACCAATTTCAAAATTGGACTATACCTAAAGTACCCATCTCTAATATATATCAAGTCAAAATTGGACTATACCTAAAGTGCCCATCTCTAATATATATCAAGTAGGATCTTTTGATTTAAAAATATGTTATGCTATTAAGACCGTAGAACAATCTATATCTGTAACTAGTATTCAAGAAAACTTCCAATTACTATCCAATAAGGTAATACAAACACATAAAACTAAAAATTATAATTATTTACACATAGGACTTATTCAAGTAGCTATTAAACCATTAACAAGACTATGACTTAACAATTCAATATTAGTATGTTTAGGAGATACCAGACATAACAAATTTAATGATTCATTACTAAGAATGGTAGAATCTAGTTTATGTAGTGGACCTATATATTTTAACTGTTTTCCTAATTACTCAGTCTCTTTAAATGATCCTAATATATTAAATGTATTAACATTAAATATGAAAACTCAAGGATTTGATATGATCCAAGGATCTCAAAATATAGCAATAAATATTGCAATCCCTAACTTTGAAATAAATACATTAGAAAGCCAATATAATAGTTATGATACACCAGAAGGAACTAAGATTACCAGTGTACATCCCCCAGAAAAAAGTTTAATCATAAAAGGAAAAGAAACTGAAAAACCACTTGAAACAAAAGCTACTCCTTATAAAATGACATCTGGAGAAATAGTACAGCGTACAGAATTAATTCCAAATATTATAGAACAAAATAATTTTACTAATTTATATATGCAATCCATTGGAAAGCAAACTTTGATAATAGAAAACATGTTAAGACCAGTACCCATACAAGAATCTAAAAAATCTGTATTATTTAAACCACCTCCTACTTTAAATAAAGAAAAATTTCATATAAGAGAAAATAATAAAACTTCAATGGATCAATTGATATCTCAATTAGCCAAATTGGATATTAAGGATACAAAAGGTAAAGGTAAAGTCATAATAAAAGAATCAAAAACCTTAACCCTAGAAGTTGAAGAACCTATAATTCCCGATACTATAGAAAACATGGAAACAGCTTTTACAGAAAGCCAACCTAATCATTATTCTC